AAAGATGTATGAGTTTACTTCTGGACTTTAATTCTATTCCATTGATCTATGTGTCTGTCGGGTTCCACTACCACACTGTCTTGATTACTGTTGCTTTGTAGTAAGGTATGTTTTGAAATCAGGAAATATGAGTCTAATTTGTTCTCCCCCCCCCAACGTGGTTTGGTTATTTTTGGATCCCTTGCAATTTCACATGACTTTTAGAATTAATCATTTTCTATAAATAATTCATCTGGGATTCTGATAGAGATTACATTGAATCTGTATCTCAGTTTGAAGAATATTGCCCTCTTAATGTTAAGTCTTTTGATTTATGAACATGGGATGTCATTCCATTTGTTTGTGTCTAATTTCTTTCAACAATTTTTTGTAGTTTATAGTCCTTTACCTTCTTGATTAAGTTTTTTTCCTAAATATTTTATTCCTTTTGATGCACTTGTGAGTGAAATCGTTTTCTTACTTTTACTTTCAGATTGCTATGAGTTTATAGAAATAGAATTGATTTTTGTATATTTATATTGTATTCTGAACCCTTGTTATACTTAGTAGTTCTGTTAGGTTTTTTGGTGAACTTCTTAGGGTTTTCTGTCTATAGGATCATGCCATCTGTATACAGAGAGTTTGCTTCTTCCTTTCCAGTCTGAATGTCTTTAATTATTTTATTTTGCCCAATTAGTTGCCCTGTCTAGAACCTGTAGTACAATCCTGAATAGAAGTGGCAAGAGTGGACATCTTGTCTTATTCCTGATTTTAGGGAGAAAGCATTTTTCACCATTGAATATTGTGTGAGTTGCAATATTTTCATCGATGCCCTCAATCAGGTTGGGGAAGTTTCTTCCATTTTTCGTTTACTGAATGTTTCTGTCATGAAAGGGTGTTGGAGTTTATCAAATTTTTTAAATGTGTTTGAGATGATTGTGTGACTTTTATTTTCTCTATTGTTATGATGTGTTACATTAATTGACTTTTAGATGTTGAACTAACCTTGTATTTGTGGGATAAATCCTACTTGATTATGATGTGTAATTCTTTCTCTATGTTGCAGGCTTTGGATTGCTTGTGTTTTGTTGAGGATATCTTGCATCGGTACTCATAAGAGATAGCGGTCTGTAGTTTTCTTGTGATGTCTGTGTTTGGTTTTGGTATCAAAGTAATGTTGGCCTCATATGATTAGTTTGGAAGTGGTCCCTCCTTTTCTATTTTTGGCAAAGTTTGTGAAGAATTGGTGTTAATTCCTTAAGTGATAGACTTCAGTGGTGAAACCAGCTGGACCTAAGCTTTCTTTGTCGGATGTTGGTTTACAATCTTAATTTAGGTATCATTCCTTAGGTATTTTTTAGATGAGGAAACAGAGGCTTAGAGAGGTTAAGTAACTTGCTACTAAGTGGCAGAACTAGGATTTGAATCCAGATTATTTTATATCAGTTACTAGGATGACAACAGTAGCAGGCATTTATTGAGTGATTAGTTTTGTATTTAACCATGCAAGGGCTGTAACATTATCGTCTCCTGCCACCATCCCATCACCAATTGATCCTTTAATGATCACTTCAACTTATATGCATTGTACACTTTTTCAGATAGAGACTTTGACACTAACAGAGATTCAGTGGCTTGCCCTATTGAACTGTGGCTGGGAAGTAAATGGTACAGCTGTGCTTCTCACTCATGAGGCCGTCTGACTCTAGAGCTTGCTCTCTTAGTTGCTCTTCTCCATCGTGTGTCTGGAGAGCCCAAGACACTCTATGCAGTAAAAGCAACTGTGCCACATGTGCACAGCTGAGCCCAGATCAGGTTTGACCTTGGAAGTGAATGGGCTCACATTGACCTTCAGGCTCCATTTAGACATGCTTGCCTCACCACAGCACTGTAGAAGCCTGGCTTTTCTTCCTTCCTCTTCTCTGTAGCTAGCATTCTACTCCTTAATTGTAGCAAAAGAGCCTCTCTATCATTCTGCTCAGATGTAGTTAGGATAAAAATAAGTTTTCACTATGCATAATGTGGAAATGGCTTTTTAAGGCATTTTAGTGTGTAAGTCAACCAACAGATTTGTGTAGTAACTTTCAGTGAAAACAGTCAAAGCATATCACATACTTATATTAATTTTTATATTTTTGTGAGTTTAGATAGTATAGAGCCTATTTGAGTGAAAAGTTGTCTCCATTTGTCAAGTTAGAGGCCTTCCTCAAATATCCATTTACACTGAAACATGGGGTTCTAAAAGCTGACTTGATGTCTTTATGAGTGGAGGGCAAGTTGAGTGGTAGACCTTACCAAGGGTGGGGTGGGTGGCATCTTGGGAACTAGGAGTGCAGCACCTGCTTCCACCTGTGCAGGTCAGTGCAGAACCTGCTTCCACCTGTGCTCTTCTGTGCTGGGTGTTGTATTGTTCAGGGCCTGCAGTCTGGCCTCTCCTGGGGCAAGAGCAGGCCAATACCCTGGTTATGCAGTCCTGGAGGGAGGGGATCTGGGTGTCTAGTTGTTCCTAATTCAGGCTTTCCATCTATTCTCTGCAGTCCTCTCCCACATCCCTGTCTAAATGTAGAGACACAGTTTCTCCTCAGAGTGTTCTGAGGACTTAGTGGGCCTTGATATCCTTCTTGTGAGCTCTTCCTGAGACACTCAGCTGAGTAGAGGACGCTCACTCCAGTTACGTGCACATGACTGCTTTCCTTCTTACCATAGTCTGTTGTCACATCTCCCCTCTTGCAGGCTGCTTTCCCATTCTCATGTCCTTTGGTGTTTTCACTTGCTTTTATTCCTTTGCTGTCATTAGGATTTCAGAAAGGAATAGAGATAAAAGCTGTTTTTTTCTTTTGTAAATTACCTCTTCATGTCCTTTGCCTGATTTTTTTATTGGATGTTAATTGTATGAGTTTGTAAGAACTTTTTATGTACGAAGCTATTAACTTTTTGACACAATACAATCATTTTTTCTTCTATGTTAACTTATTGGAAATACTTGCTGGAAGATGCTGGTGGGCATTCCAGCTTTTGTAACTTGTACAGATGGTTGTGTAGGGAAATGGATCCTGAGGCCAGCTGGCTGTACGTGGGCTTTTGTATGAATGTGCTTTCCTTTTGGCTTTTACCACTTCATGAAAACTGTCCTATTTAACTCACGTTTAGAAGTATACATACTGGCTGAGCTCGGTGGCTCAGCCTGTAATCCCGCGCCTTTGGGAGGCTGAGGTGAGTGGATTGCCTGAGCCCGAGGGTTCGAGACCCGCCTGGGCAGCGAGACCTCATCTCTACAATAAATCAAAAAATCAGCCAGGCGTGGTAGCGCATGCCTGTAATTCCGGCTACTTGGAAGGCTGAGGTGGAAGGATCGCCGGAGCCCAGCAGGTCGGGGCTGCGGTGGCCGGGAGCGGCCACTGCACTCCAGTCTGGGTGACTGAGTGAGACTCCAACTCAAAAAAATAAAAAAAAAAGAAGTATACATACTGTTTCACAAATGAAAGTATAAATGCATCATTTACCATCTCCTCTACCAAGTACTTAAAATGTGTCATGCTGGTAGTCAGTGGAAAGATCTAGCAACAGCTGGGCTGAGGAACATGGGTGCTCACTTACCTGCTGAGGATCTGTTGTCTCAGCTCAGCCATGTGCCCCAGCATTGGAGAGAGGCCTCTTTTGCACAAATGTGCCTTGGAAAGGTAGGAGGCACTGGCGAAAATACATTATTTCTTTCTCTGCATTTAGCAATGGGCTCAGGGCCATGAGAAAGGGGATTAGAGGAAAGGAATTAGCACCAGCCCACCACATGTCCCATCTGACATGAGTGGACAGGTGCTGGTCTTCTTCTGTACATGGGATCTGGTTTTCAGCTGAGTTGTCAAGGTTGAACCATGTTTCGTTTCCACTTAGGTCTTATTCAGGCTTTTTCTATCCTAACCAATATGGACAGAATGCCCTGCAGTAGTCTGGCGATCCTAAAGCACAAAGCTGTTGGACAATTCCATGGAATTTGGGGTCTGTAATGACACATAAAGAAGCTCTGTGTCACCTCCCCTCCTCTCAAGTTCCCTGGTTTACTGGGGAAGTGGCTGTGGTGAATGATCAGCTCTGCCGTGAAAACCCATTCTGGTTTCGTTTCCCCTCCAGAATAGCCCCTGTATTTTTCTTCTCCTCTGTCCCAATTGCTAGTTGCCATCTCATTCTATTCCAGGCCTGGCTACGTGTCCCAGCTTCCTAACCTGGTGTAGAAGCTTTGAGCATCTTCCTGTCTCATCTGCCCAGTGTGCTACTGCCAGACTCATTGTCACCCTGAACATCACTTTGATCACGTTGCTTCTGAGGCCTGGCGCCCATCCATGAGACTGCCTCAGGCTGCCTTTTCCTGTTTCCCTCCGCGGAGCACTCAGCACTAGGCAGTTTGATATCCAGTTGCTCTGGTCATGGTCATTATGCCTGTGTTAGGAGATTAAAAGGCTCTTGAAGGCAAGGGTGATTGCTGTGTCTCTTGAATTCCTCCTATCCTTGGTCTCGTGGAAACTCTCTGGGGAACAGGCACACTTCTCAGGCAGCAGAGTACTAATGTCTGGCAAAAATGTTTAAAAACTGAAAAATTACCTTGGCAAGCTGAGGACAAAGCCACAAAATCATGACTTGTTTTGGGGATTTCTTCAGCCTCACATCTACTAGATAACTTGGAATTTTCTTATCTATAAAAGGAGAAGGTGTTGGAGTGAATTATCTGTCAGTTCCCACCCAACCCTGAAAGGCTAATTTTCCTTCCTTTGCCTTAATCTTTCTACTGAAATTAAAAGTGATGAGCTGTTTCTGGATCCTGAGTTAGGAATTTTTCATTTCTTTGTAATTCTTTCCCTGACGCATTTTGTAGTTGTCTCTGGGTATGTGCTACTAAAGGAAAATTTTAGGAGAGCAGACAAAATGCCATACCATTCTGTTTTTCCTACTTGAAGCTTTTCGTTTGTAAAAGGAAGTCTTTCAGTTTGGTACGTAATTCTAACATGCTTCTTGCTTTTCCTCTGCAGACACGATGAGGCGAGTGGTACGACAGAGCAAGTTTCGGCATGTATTTGGACAAGCAGTGAAAAATGACCAGTGCTATGATGACATCCGGGTTTCTCGTGTGACCTGGGATAGTTCCTTTTGTGCTGTAAATCCCAGATTTGTTGCCATAATCATAGAAGCGAGTGGGGGAGGAGCATTCCTTGTGCTCCCTCTGTACAAGGTAAGCGACTTGACCTCCCATTCCGTTAGATACCCTCTGGTAATCTCTGTATTTTTCCATAATGGATTGACAGTTTACTAAGAATTGTGTGTTTGCTGAGACCATTAAACTCTGATATAACTGAGGTCATGTTCCTCACGCCTTACTAACCACATCAGTTTTTCTGTAACAGAGAATCATTAAACAGAATGGTGACATCTGTCCTGGGTGTCCCGTTTGTGGATGAAAAAAATTATAATGAGGTTGTGAACAAGGGCAGGCATAGCACTCTTAGGACTTGGTTCTTAGGCATCCACATTTCACAAACATTTTTCTATTAGAGTACAGTTTCAAAAAGTCAGGTTTTTACTCCAAAGTAAAGTTTTGCAAATAATTATCTTTTTAAATGGGCAGAAATTTGAAGATAATGTTCTCTTTTCTGTGGAGTCATGAGAACTAGAACTTTTTGGTTTTTTGAATAGCAAATAGAATAAGAGCTCAAGAAAATGTTTCAAAACAATACAACTTTCAACTTTGGCTAATAAGTTTCAGGATAGGGTTTAAACAGTGTTAACAAGTGGTAGAAATAAAGAATCTTTACTGAGATGATTCTGTGTGTTCTTCAGGTTCTTTGGGCTTCCAGGCCTTTCCTTTATTCTTCCTTTATCTTCCCAGAAAGCCTGCGAGGTGGGAGATTAGATAGGAATTTTGTGCATTTGCTGGCCAGTCATGAATACTACAGATCAAAATCTGCACTTACTTTATCAGCAAATCCCAGAGTTGCAAATAGTGAAGGAAAAAAAAAGCTATAAAGGATGGTTGGAAACAGTTGTTTACTAGCTAGCTTGCAGGAGGAAACTGAGTTTGGCAAGTCCTGAGCTCTATTGATAAGGGCTCAGTGCTGGTGAGGATGCAAATGTTGAGTCGAATTGCAGCTGTTTCTACTCACTAAAAACAGCAGTGGAAGTGGATCCCCCTGCATCTGAGCCATATGTATTAGGGGTATATCTCATCATAATGGACCATGTGATTCTGAAAGTGGTTAAAGTGAATTTCTGTCAAAGCACTGTTTCCCATTGTATTTTTTCCCCCTTGGGAAAACTTCCAGTTGTCTTGTATTTTTCTCTGAGGTGTTCATCACTAACTTGTTTTATTTTAACATTTGATTTTTACTTTAGTGGCCAGGTTAATGTGGCAATAATACACAATACACAATAGAATCATTTTGTTACAGAAGTAGGGAGGTGGGTGTCTTTAGGGAACAAATTTGATAACTGTTTTCAAATGCATCTTCTTATTGGCGGAGGTGAATCTTTTTAAATAAGTATACTACATTATTAAAACTGTTCTTGTTTTTTTGTTTTTTTGGGGGGAGTTGGAGTTTCACTCTGTTGCTCAGACTGGAGTGCAGTGGCCACTCCCGGCCACCGCAGCCTCGACCCCCTGGGCTCCAGCAATCCTTCCGCCTCAGCCTTCCGAGTAGCCGGAATTACAGGCGCACGCTACTACGCCTGGCTGATTTTTGATTTATTGTAGAGATGAGGTCTCACCAAGTTGCCCAGGTGGGTCTCGAACCCGCGGGCTCAGGCAATCCACTCACCTCAGCCTCCCGAAGGCACGGGATTACAGGCTGAGACACCAAGCCCGTCTTAAAACTGTTCTTACCTGACTTGGGAGTGGGTCCATTGCATTTGGTCTCCACAACGTTTTCATTTATTTCTTCACCAAGAGCAAGAAGCATTTGGAAACTTGACTTTTTACTGGTGGATTTTATGGTGGCCAACTGAGAAGACAGCCACAGTTTGTCAACTCAGAGCAGGCACTGGAGTACCATGATCTGTTTTGGAATTAAGAGTTTCTATTTCTCCTTTTATAGACTGGGATAAATATAAGACTTGTTTTCTTCAAAGAAATAGAACAAATCAATTAGAATCCCAAAATAAACTTTTGAAAGGCTGATCTTCGACTGAATTCAAACAGTCCCCTTCAACGTCTATATCCACACAAGGCTCTGTAAGTCCATCTTTGCTGTTACAAACCATGGGAAACCTTGAGCTTTACTTATCTCATTTAAAAGAGACCCGCATGTACTTTCTGAGCTAACCGGATCTTAAGATTTGATTTTCACTTGTGTTGAATGACCTATGGTTAATAAATATGTTCTAGTTTTTGCTCTTTAACCAGCCTTACAGGAATGAAGATAGAATAAGTTGCTTTATAAATTATCGTGTTTGGATGAAGAGTTGTTTCATGGAGGATCCTTGAGGGTCTGTCTTTTCCTGGCCACAATAAATGTCAAAGCTACAATAATGGCTTCACTCTTTATTTTTATTTTTTTTGAGTTGGAGTCTCACTCAGTTGCCCAGCCTGGAGTGCAGTGGCCCCTCCCGGCCATCGCAGCCTCGACCTGCTGGGCTCCAGCGATCCTTCCACCTCAGCCTTCCAAGTAGTCGGAATTACAGGCATACGCTACCACTCCTGGCTGATTTTTTGATTTATTGTAGAGATGAGGTCTCGCTGCCCAGGCGGGTCTTGAACCCACGGGCTCAGGCGATCCACTCACCTCAGCCTCCCAAAGGCGTGAGATTACAGGCTGAGCCACCGAGCCTGGCGGCTTCACTCTTTAAATATTACATTTTTTTAGAGGAGATGACATTGGTGTAAACAAAACCCTGTGACAGCCATTGGACATGAGGTCAATGGGGTTCTGTAATTGATAGGTTTACATGTACTGTGTATGTGTGAGGTTTTCACATACTAAAGTGTGTGCATTTAGCCCTTAATGTCATCATGGCATAGAGGAAGGAACATGGGACTGAGAATTGAAGAGCTGTAGAGTTCAGTCCTAGCTCTGCCACTGTCTTGTAGTGGGACATGGATGTGCCACTATCCCTCTGTTCTTCCATTTCTCTCTGTAATGTGAGGGGACTGTATATAAAAGTGATTTTCTTCTTGGTAATTCTGGGTGATCTCAGAAGTGCTTCTCACCTCCTGTGGTTCTCAGTTATGAAGTGATTTCCAGTGCAGCTGGTTTGGTACTCAATTCAGCAAAGAAAACACTGTTTTTCCATTTTTTTCCCCTTAGTCTAAGGGATAGCTTTGGAAAGTAGATGTCTTCTTACTTATGGCTGCTTTTTTGCCAAGCCTAAGGCTGACCCCAGCAAAGAAGAATGGTCTTGTAGTTCCTCTAGACAGTTGTGTGCCCAGAGAGCTCTCAGAAGGATCTGCTATGGTGGTGGGGCCTGGCCCCTTGCTCTGGCCCTTGAGACTGGAGTGTCAGGTGACACATCTTTTCCTCTTGTTCATAAGGTGCTGGCTGGTTACTGGGGCATCAGTAGCTGTTAGAAAATAGAGCCATCTTCCATGTTGAAAACATACACTTACATCTGCTTTATAAAATTGACTGCCTTCTTGTTATCTACCTTATAATGTTGGTACAATCATGAATATTTGAATAGTAATTATAAATTTTACATTTTTACAGTTGATTTTTATTTTATTTTATTTTATTTTTTGAGTTGGAGTCTCACTCTGTCGCCCAGACTGGAGTGCAGTGGCCGCTCCCGGCCACCGCCGCCTCAGCCTGCTGGGCTCCGGCGATCCTTCCGCCTCAGCCTTCCAAGTAGCTGGAACTACAGGAGCGCTACCATGCCCGGCTGATTTTTTTTGGTTTATTGTAGAGATGCGGTCTCGCTGCCCAGGCGGTTCTCGAACCCGCGGACTCAGGCAATCCACTCACCTCAGCCTCCCAAAGGTGTGGGATTACAGGCTGAGCTACCAAGCCCAGCTGATGTTGTTTTTTTAAAGTTTGGGTCTGACTTTGTCACCCAGGCTGGAGTAAGGTGGCACTATCACAGCTCACTGCAGTTTTACTTAAGGCTCAGGTGAGCCTTCTGCCTCGTCTACAAGTAGCTGAGAAGACAGGCACGTGTCACCATGCCTGGCTAATTTTTTGAGTTTTTCTAGAGGCAAGGTCTTGCTATGTTGCCTAGACTGGTCTCACACGCTTGGCCTCAAGCACTGCTCCCACCTCACCCTCTCAAAGTACTGGGATTACAGGATGAGCTATCGCACCCAGTCAATATTTCATTGTTTATATGAGTAAGACTATACTACCTGTGATAAGTTGGTTTGATTGCCTGTTAGCTGAGCAGCTGCTGTTGGCCAGCATCTCTGCCCATCTAGTTTTTTGTTGTGGTCAGTTTCCTAATCTCCCCCAGAAAATCATCCTAGCAGATGGTTGGTATTGAGGTGTTTGTCTCCTCTTTAGAAGTGCTTTCTTGAAGAAGAGATATGATGGGGATTCCAAGTACATGGGGACCCCATTAATCCTAATGCAGTGCTCTTTGCCCTGGAAAAGAGATTCCTGCAACTACAGTGTCTTGGCAACTATGAAATAATTTTATAATGAGATTGCTGCTTTGGTTTAAAAGCAAAGAAAAATCAAATTTCCAAATATAATATGAAGTTACACTTGAAATCAAGTTAGCAAGAAATTCTGCGTAGGTGCGTGTTAGACCCCAATGTATGTTGATATAAGTCTGAGATTATTCTAAACACAAACCTTAAGAAATGAGTATGGTTTTTCTTATTTTTCTTTTTTTTTTTTTGAGACAAGGTTTCACTTTGTGAAACCCAGACTAGAGTGCAGTGGCAGGATCACGGCTCAATGCAGCCTTGAACTCCTGGACTAAAGTGATCCTCCTGCAGCTTCCCAAGTAGCTGGGACTACATGTGTGTACCACCACACCTGGCTAATTTTTTTTTTTTTTTTGTAGAGATGGGGGTCTTGCTTTGTTGTCCAGGCTGGTCTTGAACTCCTGGCCTCAACCAATTCTCCCGTCTCGCCTTCCCAAATTGCTGAGATCACGGGCATGAGCTACTATGCCTGGCTGGTATGGTTTTTATTTGTTTATTTATTTATTTATTTATTTAGAGTTGGAGTCTCACTCTGTCACCCAGACTGGAGTGCAATGGCCACTCCTGGCCACCGCAGTCTCGACCTGCTGGGCTCCGGTGAT